AGGTGGTCTCTGCTTTAGTGCCTGGCCGCCGTGCACTGCCAGTTCCTGTGTACATGTTAGTGCCCGCCCCAGCTCAGGATGATGACTCTGGCACTGACTCGGCAGAGGGCACACCTGTCAACTTCTCCAGTGCAGCATCACTCAGTGACGAGACCTTACAGGGACCCTCCAGGGACAAGCCAGGAGGGCCTGGAGAAAGGCAGAAACTCACAGGCCGAGCTGTCCCTGCCAGGCAGACCCATAGGCACCGTCCCAAGACAGCAGGTGCTGGTACAGAGCACACCCGAGGGGCTGGTAGGAACCGGGCAGGGTTAGAATTACCCCTCAGCAGGCCCCAGAGTGCTCGATCTAACAGGGATGGCTGGTGCCAGACCCGGCCCCGTGGGGATGGTGCCCTGCAGTCACTGTGCCTCACCACACCTACAGAGGAAGCTGTGTACTGCTTTTATGACTCTGATGAGGAGCCAGCAGCCACAGCACCACCGCCCTGGCAGGTGTCTGCAATCCCACGGGCTCTTAAGCACGAGAAACCCACAGGCAGAAAGGAGACCCCATCCAGGGTGTCAGAGCCTGTCACACCACCTGTGAGGGCCCAGCCCAGACTGATTGTGGATGAGACCCCACCCTGCTATTCCTCAGCTAGCTCCCTCAGTGAGCCTGAGGCCTCTGAACAGCCATTCAGCCATCCCGGAGGCCGGGAGCTGGCAACCACCAAGGACCCAGGTCCAGGCAGTAAACGGGACAGCTCTCCTAGTCCAAGGGCTGAGGAGGAGCTATTGCAACGATGTAACAGCTTAGCCCTGCCCAGGTACCGGACCCAGGTACCCGGGTCTCGTCGTCGGAAGCCCAGAGCTGCCCGATCTGATGTGCGGCCCACTGAGGTACCTCAGAAATGCCGTGAGGAGGTGCCTGGCTCTGACCCAGCCTCTGATTTAGACAGTGTTGAGTGGCAGGCCATCCAAGAGGGTGCAAATTCTATCGTCACATGGCTGCACCAGGCGGCAGCCAAGGCCAGCCTGGAGGCGTCTTCTGAGTCTGACTCCCTCTTGTCTCTGGTGTCTGGGCTCTCAGCAGGCTCCACTTTACAGTCCTCCAAACACAGGAAGGTGCGAAAGCCTGGGGCTGAAGCTGGGGGTAACTGGTGTCCAGAGAAACGGGATGCAACTTCCACCAAGATCAGTAGGAGTCGTCGGTTTCCTAGTGGTCCCGAGAAGGCAAAGGGTACCCAGAAAGTAGTGGCAGGGGAGCCAGCCATGCTCCGGGGTCGGACAGTGATCTACACGGCCAGACCAGCCTCCCGGGCTCAGTCCAAAGGAGTTTCTGGCCCTTGTGCCACACCTAAGAAGATGGGGACATCTGGTACCACTCAGCCAGAAACTGCCACCAAAGCTCCCAGCCCTGGGCAACAGCGTTCAAGGAGCCTCCACCGGCCAGGTAAGATCTCGGAGCTGGCAGCCTTGAGTCATCCGCCCAGGAGTGCGACCCCTCCAGCCCGCCTTGCCAAGACTCCATCCTCAAACTCATCACAGACGTCGCCAGCATCCCAGCCCCTGCCTAGGAGGTCCCCTCTGGCCACTCCAACTGCAGGGCCTCTTCCTGGCCCTGGAGGGTCTCCAGTGCCCAAGTCACCAGCCCGGGCCCTTCTGGCTAAGCAACACAAGACCCAGAAGTCACCTGTGCGGATCCCGTTCATGCAAAGGCCAGCCAAGCGAGGGCCACCACCACTGGCTAGGCCATCCCCAGAGCCTGGATCCAGGGGCAGAGCTGGGGCTGAGGGGGCTCCTGGTGCTCGTGGTGGCCGCCTGGGCCTAGTGCGTATGGCCTCAGTCCGCTCCAGTGGCAGCGAGTCCTCAGACCGCTCAGGCTTCCGCAGGCAGCTAACCTTCATCAAGGAATCCCCGCGTCTCCTTCGTTGCCGCAGGTCGGAGCTGTCCTCTGCAGACTCCCCCTCCTCCAGCTCCCAGGCCACTTCTCCTCGCCGTGGAAGGCCTGCACTCCCTGCTGTTTTCCTCTGCTCCTCTCGCTGTGATGAGTTGCGGGCATCCCCAAAGCAGCCTCTGGCACCACAGAGATCCCCGCAGGCCAAGCCAGGTCTTGCTTCACTTGCGCCCAGGCGCACCAGCTCTGAGAGCCCCTCACGCCTACCTGTGCGGGCACCTCCCAGGCGGCCTGAGACAGTCAAGCGGTATGCATCCCTGCCACACATTAGCGTCGCATGCAGGCCAGATAACGCTGTCTCTGTACCCACTACCCAAGTTAGTACCACTCGCCGGGGAAGTGATGGAGAGACCAGACCACTGCCCAGGGTAGCTGCACCAGGTACCACCTGGCGTCGTATCAAGGATGAAGATGTCCCCCACATCCTGCGTAGCACATTGCCTGCCACTGCCCTGCCTCTCCGGGGCCCATCACCCGAGGACAGCCCTGCTGGGACTCCACAACGCAAGACCAGTGATGCAGTGGTACAAACAGAGGATGTGGCGGCCTCTACGACCAACTCCAGCACATCACCCAGCCTGGAGAGCAGGGATCTGCCACAGGCCCAGGCCAGTGGCCCCGATGTTGACGGAGCAGTCCTCGCGAAGCCAACTGCCTCAGCGCCGTTCACCCATGAGGGCCTGAGTATCGTCACGGGCGGGTTTCCCACAGCCAGGCATGGCTCCCCGAGCAGGGCTGCACGAGTTCCCCCTTTCAACTATGTGCCCAGTCCTATGGTGGTGGCCACAGCAGCCAGTGACTCTGCATTGGAGAAAGCCCCTGTAACCTCTCCAGCTAGCCTCCTGGAGTAGTGGGTGCAGACCAGCCTTCTGGAACATTCTTTGCCCTGTGGCCCAGTATGGCTGCCCTGCGGGCTTGCTATCCAGATGCTCCGAGTAGGCACATCAATGCCCTCAGAGCTCCTGTCCAGCTCGCATCTCCACAACTTAGAGCCAGCTCTTTGCTTCTATGCCTGGGGCTCCAGGAAACGGCTATAGCCAGGCTGCAGGGCACACAGCATCATGTTCTGAGTTTGGCCTGGGAAGGGGATGCAGAGCTAAGCTTTGAGGGACACTAGCTGTAGGCACCATGCAAGACCTGCCCTGGACTGCACACAGTGGGAGGGAGGCAGGGCACGGCCTCTAGGTAGGTTACTGTGCTTGCCTCCAAGGTAGGGGCAGGCTGTGGGAAGGGTGGTGAGACTCTTGACAGCTGGCGCTGCCTCAACCTCAGCCCTGCACCGTGAAGCCTATAATTAGTGCTGGGGTAATTGGTTAATAAGGACTCTGCCAGGCATGTTTGCCTTCTCAGTGGCAGCTGAGGAGTGCTGGCTGAGAGATCGCTGAGGGTGAACGGTCCTCTCGGCACAGATGTTGGGGAGTCGCTGAACCCATGTCCCTTCATTACTGCATAGGAGGGACAAGCTTGCTGCCAGCTGGAGAGACTCTGGGGGCAGAGGGAGGGAGAGCAGGCCTAGACAGCTGACATCCCTGGGGAGGTGGGACAAGGACCAGCAGTGCAGGGAGGAGACAGGTCCATCTGTGGGAGCCTGGTCCTTCCCAGGGTCATGTGTGTTTATGATGCAGGAAATGTCAGCATCCTCATCCCTGGCTCACCCACAGCCTGTAAGCAGTGTGGGGAATTGGTGACAAGGTGGGAGGCCTGGGGCTGCCATGGAAAGCAGGGATCAAGTGTGGTAAAGACCTCAGGCAGATGGGCCTTTGAGGACCTGGGTCTTGGGTCTCAGCTCAGCATCCTTTCCTGCAGAGAGAGCCGACCACCTCTCTCCTGTGGGACCCCGGGCTGCTCTCTGCAAGACCTGTAGCCACGGCCACCTGCAGGAGTTGTTCCCAGAGGACACCACCCTTGAGCTGGCCTCAAGTCCCTGCTCTGAGATGGGGGAAGTGGTTCTCAGAACAGGTGGGAGGCCCTGGAAAGGACTGCAGACACCACTGCCCCTTCCCACCAGTCCCCGACTGCCTTTATGAGTGGACACAGTGACAGCCAGGGAACACCACCAGGGTGGACCCTACAGAGCTGTGCAACTTAACCTGTATCCTGACATCTGTCCAGTGCTTTGAAATTCCAGTGTCCCAGAGATGCCTGGTGCTTCCCTTGACCAGGGCTTCGCTCCTTTCACAACATCAGGAACACCAGGTGCCAACTGGACTATGCCTGCTGCACAGGGCTCCGGCAGAGTTCCGAAGGCATGCGGGCCCAAGGGGAACTGACAGGGAGATAAGGAAGCAAGGCGCCTCTGGGATTCAGCTCATACCAGCCATGCACCCCACGATGCCCCGTGGTGGGAACATGGCGCTAGACAGATGTCCTGCTGGGGCTGCAGAAGTGACCCTCATCTTCTGCAGATGAACCTGTAAACCACCCACTGTGAGACCCTAGGTGGTACACATGCTGCTCTCTCTGTGCCTCGGTTTCCCCATGTGGGCCATGGGGAGGATTCAAAGTGGAGCTGAGAGAGGTCCATCGCTCTTCTGGCTACCCCTTCTGTCCTGTCGCTTGGGCCCAGCAGCCATGTCTGCCTTCCCCACCCTGCACAGTGGTGTACACAAGCCACAGAGCCACATCCAGGCCCGGATAGGTAAGAGCTGGCCTGGGACAGTGGCTTCCAGAAGGGTGACCAAAGCCAAGAGGCCAGCCTGCCTCTAGAGTGTCCTTAGACATGGAAAAGGAGGGGTCCGCTGTCCTCCAGGCTGGCAACAGCTGCAGGCACCCTGAGCTGGAGACCAGTGGTCCATCGGAGACGAACAATGGGTACTTGAACAGGGCAACATGCCCACCAGTTACCTCACCTCCTGTCCCGTCTGTCACGCTGTCCTATGGCCAATGTCATCCCCTTGCTCACATCTGGTTGGTTTGTCCTCTGCCACCACCCCATCTCTGTCCTGATCTACAGGGTTAACATTTCTGTACATACTGACCCCAACCCCACATGGATTCCCCAGCAGGACACCTAGCCTGGCTTCTAGTTCTTATTCACATCGTTAATAAAGCAAGCTACCGAGTTGCTCTGTGACTGCCCAAGGCTTTAATCTTCAACATGGGCTCTGGAGGGGGGAGGCCATTCCAGAACCTTCTACTGCAGCTACAGTCCAAACCCACAAGGCACTGGAGCATGGACCCGAGCTCTCCACAGACTGGACACTGCACAGGTCTTCACATGCTAGAGCCAAGGTCAATTCAGGGTCAGCCAAGCCATACTTGGCCATTTGCTCTCAGACAACAGCCACTGACCAACTGTGGAGCTGGGGATGGGAAACCCAGAGTAAACAGGTCTCTGTGACTATTAGGAATGGGGAATGGCAGGAATAAGTTGGCCACAAGCCAAGGCCGTTTCTGACACAGTGCAGGCCAGCTTGGGGCATGAGAAGGCACCAGGATGGCCAAGGGCATGAAGGGCTGGCGTGGACTTGGGCCCCAGTGAGTCCAGCTCAGGGGAGGTGTAAGCTCCAGAATCAACTCTCTGATGTTCCAGAAATGAAGCCTGTCCACTCAGGAGTGGTGGGTCTTCAGCAAGGCCAACTGAACCCCAGGTCCACCACACCAGAGTCCTGTGGGTACCCAGCTGAGCTTGCATGACATGGGAACCTGCAGAGATCCCTGCAAATGTTACCCTCTGCCTTTGGGTTCCTCCTGTGCCTCTGAACTCCCCAGAACCAAACCCTGCTTGCCGAGTTCCTCTGGGACCAGAAAGCAGAGAAGGCCACAGGACCCTGCAGGACCAGCCTTGGCTCTAGGAAGAGGGTAGTCAACCAAGGTGACACCGGACATACTGGTTCTGGCCTGCTATGGATGTTGGGGATGGAGACCCTAGCTAACCAGGACCAGAGCACAGCGGTGGAGGGCTGGTCACCCTAAGGCAGGCTGGCTCTGGGCCCCAACATCCAGCCAAGTCTTTGATGCAATCCAGGCCAGTACCCCCATGAATAAGGAGGTGGCCACATCCCTAAGTCCCACCACAAATTAGAGGCCACCATGGATGGAAGAGGAAACCAAGACCCAAAGCCTTCCAAGAGGGTCACAAGGACCCCTCAGTACAATGCTGGGCAGCAGATGTTGATCCAGAGCCTCTGGTAGACAGCCAGCCAGGGTGCCTGCCCTGGATGGAGGGCTTCAGGTGTCCTTGGCTCTAGGAGGTGGCTGAGGTCACCTGGCTGACATCCTGCTCTAGCCTCTGACCGGCCTGCCGAAGGTTCTCGAACTTCTGCCTCAGTGTGTCCTTTGCCTGCTGCAGCCGCTCATTCATGGCCACATAGGCCCGGCTCTGTTGGTAGATCTGCTCATGCTGGGCTTCAAGGTCCTCGGCTCTTAGGGATGGATCTGGGGGGTCTGGAGAGGAGAAACAGTGTCACCACCCACAGGCCAGCAAGCTTCACTCCACATCAGGAGGATTGGGAGTTCAAGGTTATCATTGGCTCCATAGTAAATTGGAGGCCTGCCTGGGGTACACGAGACCTGTCTAACCCTAGAAAATATGAGTCCGTTACAGGCCTGAAAAATCCCAGGGTTTGGGAGGTCACCAAGAGGACAGGACCCCTCCAGCCACCCTGGCCTTGCTGTCCCATCCAGCACTGCCTAGGTTCCTGGATTCTAGGGCAGGACTCGCAGAAAACAGCTCCTTCACGTATTGTTTCCCCAGATTTCCATTTAGGAACCACGGGGCATTGGGCTTTTTTCTTTTTCCCTCTGAGACAAGGTCTTGAACTCACAGCAATCCTCCTGCCCAAGACTCCTGGGTTGGTTTAGGTTACCAAGATCGCGGGCCCCTCAGCTTTGCTTTGATGACCCCACTTGACAGAGTGAGAGAGGGTCGGTGACAGAAAAGATGCGTCCCTAGGGGTGTGGCTGCAATCAGGGTTGCTCCCGACTCAGTCGTCCTCCTACCTTCCGGGGCCAGGGCGGTAAAAACAGGATCGTGGGCGGGCGCCTCTCGCACGTCCTCCAGGATCTGCTCCACTGTGGGAGGAGCCGGGCGCGTGGGCAGCACCACGCGTTTCTTGCCCCTGGAGCTCATCTTAGGCGGAGGAGCGCGAGCTAACTGCAGGTCCTCTCTGCTTGGCTTTCCCACCCCGCACGCATTACGGCCCTGCGCCGAGGTCCATTCCCAGTCTCGCCGTCCCGCCTCTCGGGGTCTCAGTTTGGCTCAAACTCGGCCTCAGTTTGCCCCCAGAAATCCCTACAGCCTTTCTCGGCTCCAAGAACCTGTACGGCCGCCACAACTTCCGCTTCCGGTTTGAGCGCCGCTTGGTTCTTGCATTTCCGGTCTACTCCAGCTCCGCTCTTCGAGAACCCCTCCCCCTCTTAAAGAGCCCTAGTTCTAGAGGTTCCTAGGAGTCCTCCAAATGTATCAAAGGGATCTCAGCCTCCTAGACCGCGAGTGGGGAGCATGAGTTCAAGTCCCCCTGGCCGGGCAGCAACTAGGAGTTGCTAACTAACCACTGCCAGGTTCACAGTGGGCGCTTAATAGATGCTGGATGGTGCCCAAACACAGGATAACATGTTCCAGGAGCCGTGCTCCCTTGTCCTGAGTGGTGGGCCCAAGCTGTTAATCCCAGCACTCAGGAGACAGAGGCAGGCGGATCTACAGAGTGAGTCCCGGGAGAGCCTGAGCTACACAGAGAAACCCTGTCTGGAAAACCACCAAGGAGGGGGGGGGCGGGGACTACCACACGCTCAAGAACACGGTGTCCATGGTGTGTGTACTCCTGCACTGGTGTGGGCTGTGGGCCTCCTACCAGGGCTCTCTCGTCCACACACTGCCTTGAAGGACACCACATACGTGACATCTTCTATTTAACTTTTATTTACCAACTATGAGACTATGAGATCAGACACGGGGCTTGTGGACGGTTCTGGGGCAGGGAAGGGACAGATGGTCGGTGGCTGTGGTCTGACCTCTGCCCACGGCACCCTTGTCCTGCTCCAAAATGAGTAAGGAGACAGCTCTTCCACTGGGAGCAGCTGTGGCCCTTCCTGGGGCCTGCAGATGACCTGCCAGGGCTTTCTGGGGCAAGGTCCTATTCCAACCTGGGAGCAGGGCCTTGGGGTTCCGCCCTTCCTATCAGGCATCTCTGGCTCCCCAGCCTTCAGGGTCTCGGGCATTGGGGTGTCTAGCCTAGGGGGGTGGGCCTTCCTCAAGCCGAGAGGGGTCTCCTGAAGGTCCTGGCCAGCTGGGCCAGCACCATGGCCTGGGACCGGTAGCCGGGGTGGCCGCCAGAGATGGCAGGCCTTGGAGGAGCCCTGGAGCTTGCCCAGCACGAGGGACAGGGGACAGGCAGTGTAGTCACTGGTCAAGCTGCCCCAGCAGGTGTAATAGGAGGGTGACAGCTGGCCTGTCCCTCGGTCACTGGCTGCTCTGTGTGGCTGTAGAGCCACCACTGCCGGCTGGAGATGAGGCAGAGCCAGGCCAGGATGGCGGGGGGAATGTGACTTTCTGTATAGGGACAGAATGGAAATGGGGGTGAGGCTGCAGCTTGAGGGTGCAGCCGGTGCCCGCCCACCCCCCCCGGGCCGCTGCGCCTCCTCCCCCGACAAGTGACCATGCGCTGCGGCCACTCACCCTGGCGCAGCCCCTCTGTGTCCCTCTGCACACACGCGCGGCTGGTCACCTGGGGGCCCTGGGGCCGCGCTGTCATGTCCTCGGCCGTCCCGTACAGCAACAGTGTGTAGTAGTACAGAGTTCCTGGGCAGGGGTCGCGGTGGGCACCGAGGGGGACAGGCTGTCGGTGGCCTGCCAGGCTCTGTAGCCAGCCTTAGTGGCTCCCACCCAGGGCCCCATATCAACTGAGCCTGGCTGCTGCACACCTACTTGTGCCAGTGGCTGGAGGCCCCTACTTCCACAGAACAACTGCACCTGCTGTGTGCTAATGGCCAGACTCCCCAATTTCCCAAGTGTATTCCCCTACTGTGTATTAGTGGCCAGATTTCATCCTATCCCTCAGGTAGTTAATACCTCATTATTTACCACTGGTCAGACCACCACCATGATTCTGTTAGCTTGTTGCACACCTACTGTGTACCAATGGCCAGACTCCTCTCCTTTCTTCAGGTGACTGCACCTAATGTGTGCCACTGTGCTCAGAACCCCCCCCCATTAACTTCTTTCAGGTTACCTTATACCTACTATACACCAATGGCCAGATCCCCTCTTCCCCCATGGTACTACACCTACTGTGTGCCAGTGGAGTGGCCAGATCCTCCCTCTTCATGTTACTCCATAACTAAACACCTACTGTGCACCGGTGGCTGGGACCCAACCATCATCCAGGCAACAACGTCTACTGTGTGCTAAAATAAGTATTGCATGGTCTCTCCAAGAAAACCCCTGGGACCTGTGGCTGACAGTCAACTAAAACAGGGCCCCCAGCCCTACAGCCCACAGCCACAGTCACAGCCACAGCCACAGCCAGCTCTCTCACCTGTGTTAAAATAGTAGCCCTTGTTCTCCAGGCCCAGGGTCCACAGGCCCTGCGGGTCCTCATCCCAGTAGTGGGTGGACATGAAGATCCAGTTGTTATAGCCTTGGCCGCTGATATCCAAGGGTCTGTGGCCGGCAGGTGGCGCGGGAAGAGACAGGACAGGACGGGTGGCGTCTAACACGTGTCTTCTGAGTCCCACCCGCGTAGGATACCACCTGCAGGAGGCTAGGCAGGGCTCCTCTCGCCCACGGGGCCCCTTAGGAGGATCTCATACCTGATGGCCACGAGCGTGGAGCGTGTACCCATAGGGCTGGTGAGGGCGATCTCCAGGTCCCCGCGGCGGCTGTAGGAGAGTGACAACTGGACCTGCACGTGCTCGAGCGAGCGGATGAGGCGGTGCGAGCCATCGGAGCACGCGGACACGTTCTTCGACACCAGCATCCGAGTCAGGATGGGGCTGGTAAGGTGAGGATGATCCTGTGGGCCTGCCGTGGGCCGGGTGGCGCCGGGTGGCGGGCCTGGGGGGTCCAAGGGCCTGAGGGCACTCTCCTTCCTCAGATGGGTAAACTGAGGCTTCGGGGCTTCTTCCCTGCCTTGGACTAGGGTGGGACGTAGGGGAGGAGGGAGGCTGCAACAACGTGC